TCTTTTTACACTCCTTTCATTATTTCAATTTCAAATCTTTCATACGTCTCTTTCTCATCTCTTTCAGTCCTTTTTACAGCCTGTCCTCCCCTTCTCGTTCAACCGTCGCTCGAAAAGGTTCGCAAGAGAGACCGACCCACGCCAAGAAATTCAATTAGCCGATCATTAACAAAGAATTCGCTGTCCGTCGTGGATAAGTGACATCCCTCTAACTATTCACGGAGAGCAGAGAACCGCGGAGATGTACTACTTCCAACCTATCAAAGCGTCGCACCACGAGCTTTTTTTTAACGATCGTTCCAACTAGCCACCCTTTAAATTCTCGATCTTCCAACTCGCAATCTTTATTTGTTCACCGTGGAAGAATCCCTCTACTCCATTAGGAACAAAGAAGTTAATTCCTCGAAACTTTCCAACCCCCCAACAGAAAAAGAAGTTAATGCTATGCTATACCTCTTTTGGACACAATGATGATAATTTTGAAGACAACCGACCATATTTTTACGATATTCGAGAAGAGAAAATCCGTGTTGCTTATTAATTTTTAAAAATTTTTCGATATTTATTGTATATATTCGTTATATTTGTATTATTATTGTTTCTAATAAATGATTCTAACGAAAAACTTAATTTTTTTCTCTTTTTCGTTTATCCTCGTTTATCCTCCTCTTTTTTCGAAAAGAGATTGGGTGTTCTTTGTTGAATTATTGAAATGAAAATTTCAGCTTGGATCGGGATGCGATGTAAGTAAAAGTAGTAATTTATTTTTATAAATACGTTATTCGAATAAATATTAAAGTAAGAGAAGAATAAGAAATGAAGAAAAGTTTTCACTCGAATAAAAATTCATTCTACCAGCACTCTTGTTTAATATTTTATAGCCTGAACAATGGTCGCCTGGATTTTTCATTGAATAATTATCTTCAAACCCTCTTTCTCTCCATTTTCCACGCCACACCTCCTCCCCACCAATACCTTTTCACGGATACTTTTCAATATTCTTTTTTTAATTCTTGCTACCCTCGGCTAGTTTTTTGCTATCTTACCCTCTTCTCATTTATCCCCCTCGCCTTCAACTCCATAAATCTTCTTCTTATTTACGAACGCTCACAACGCCCTTCAACGTTCCGCGAGTAAATTCTAAACGACATTCTCTAGACGAGGCGAATAACCCGCTCTGCCTCGTTTGATTGGCGCTGTTCCTGCAGAAATTCGTGAACACGAAGGGGTGTTCCAAGCCGACCCCTGACGAAGAACGTCATTAACCGAATCGAGAATAATATTTATTCGGCGGAGAGGGAACGATTCTTGACAGATGTTCACTTTTACGTATCCTTCGACGTGAAACTTCGACGAATCTCGATTTAAATATTCTTCGTTGTAGCTGTTTGTCACCACTGTGAACTGATTATTATTCCGCCAAATCGTTTTCTTCTCTTATTCGTTTGAATAAGATACGCGTATAAAATTCATTCGTGATATTTCTCGCATATTTTGCAATTTATTCGCAATTATCGCTGGGATCGAAAGTATTCCATCGTTGCAGTTGGGTTAATTATTGCTATATACTTTTTACCCCTGTAAAAGGGGTAATTTGGAAGATATTGGGCAGGGATAGGGGAGAGGAAAGGCCGCGGTCTGGTCCCATATTCGATAATTAAGCCGCAACACGCTGCAATTAGCGTTGGCCAATGTATAAAACGAGTTATCGTTGCCGGGCTTCGACCGCGTATATTATATCTACAGTGGCGGCTTATTCAATTACACGGGGAATCGAACAACGGCACGGACGATTCTCCGTAAACGAACGAGGCGAACGACGAGACGAGATTTAAATTAATAATCCTGGAAATTAATGTCTTTCTTATTCGAAGAAATAATATAATATAAGCTAGGAAAGTTTTCCAAACGTCTTCTTATTATGGGAATTCGTCCCATTTTAAGAAAAAAGGAATCCGATTTCAATGAAAATTCGCGCTTCATGATTGTATCTGTTGAGAGCAATTTACTTCTCAATCAAAGATCAGTTTGAATTTTTCACCTGGTATAATTTTTGGAATATTTTTTTTTTTTTTATAAAGATACTAGGGTAATAAGAGCATTAAAAATTTGAATATTTTATTCGCTTAAAATTTTCTTTCATCTCGCATCATCATTACACGAAATTTTATTTTAAAGAACGAGAATAATATCGAAATGTCGACGGATCGATATCACTCCCCCTCCCCTCACGAAGTGATATTAATAAAAGAAAAATTGCTCGCATAAAACTATTAATCGAACTCGCGTGAACCGTAAAAATAAAATATAAAAAAATTTTTGCGACCGACTGTATATGCTTCTCGTTTCACGCTCGTGATTTTGACGAGGCTAAACCGTTGTAGGTATCGAATTTTATCCCATCAGAAATCCGATAGCCGTATGGATAGTGGTATGGAGGTAGCGAGAAGGAAGAAAATAAAAATAGAAATAAAAACGAAAACGGAGACGAGAAAAAAAAATTATCTTGAAAAAAATCGATAAGGAAAGAAGAAGCGAATATCTAATGAAAAAAGAACGCGTAAATTAATCAACTGATTGATTACGCGTTAAAAGTATCCGCTCTAGCGAAGAAAGAGAGAGAAGGGAAGAATACAGAAACGAATATCGATACGAGAGCGGAGAAATTGTCAGAGAAATTGGGACTGATTCCCAATTGCATCGATAATTTAGAAAGAGCAAGAGATCCCTCTTCCTCTCTCTCTCTCTCTCCTCCGAAAATTTATTCAGGAAAGAGGTGTTGCAAGAAAGAAGAAGGGTCGAAGGGTTGGTGGACGATAGGTCGTCCTCTCTACTCTCGGGTGGAATTTAATTCATTGAAAATCGGACGTCGATGCTTCGAGGCAAAAACGAACGTACCTTCTGCAGTACTAGTACTAGCAGCAGGAGGAGGAGGACAGTCGGTGGAGTGACGTCGTGGTGGATTTGGTGGGACGAGTCGCTGCTGGTCGGGCCACGTGGCGCCATAGCCGTGGAGGGGGACGCAGCCTGGTGTGTGTCCTCGGAAAATATCGCCAAAAATCGTTCGTGGCCTCGCCTCCTCCGCCGGAAATTAAAGATTCAACGAGTCGAGGGTAATTTCAGGGGGTGGAAAGAGGAGAGAGGAACAAGGAGGAAGGCGAGGAGAAGGAGGAGGAGGAGGAGGGGGGACGACGAGGAAGGGAAAGATAGAAAATGATACGGGGGATGAAAATGGAAATCGATTCGAGAAGAGAGGGATGGAGAACGAGTTACATTCGGCGTCGTTAAACCGATATCGACGGTTTCCCCGAAGAAAACGTTCGGGGAGGTCGGTTTTCTCGTCCCCCTTCGAGGGATGGAAAAACTTTGGGGGCGCTTTTGACCTTAACGCGGCCGTGGCCTTGAAACTGAGTTCTAATTATTCGAGGTGAATTATAATCGCGTTAAGATGCGTTCAGAATCTTCATGATAATCTGATCGTCTCTCTCTTTCTCTGGTTTTAGTTCGAGTATGTTTGCAATCTCGTCGTGGAACGAATAATTTCGATTATCAATGGCGAAGGTTATTGGAATAATGAAAGGTGATAGAAATTTTAAATTTAAAAGCGAGGCTATAGATTAAATTGCGAAGAAGTTTCGATTAAAACCGTGGTTTCTTTTATGCTTGAAATTAAGGTATATTAAATGAATTTGAATCTGTGTACACTTTGGATGATGACAACAGATCGTTGTAATCGCTGAATGATCCGAACATATAGAGGAAACTGTATCTATTTTGTTTCATCCTATTTATTCATTTATTATATTTCATTTGGATTGATTGGAGATATAAGGATTTAAAATCCATATTATTTAACACAGCACCAAAGATTATTTATTCATTGTTCTCATGGAAATGCACTACGTCCTTCCAGGAATCTGTGTTTTTTTTTTTCACCAGGAATCTGCAATTTGGGATAGGTTAGTGAGCGACAAGAACGGAAATAGCAAACGATTAAAAATTACCCTTTTCTTTGCACGACCGAAAATAACTATCTTCAGATTAGATAAAATTACGATATGAAAAATGTTATAACGATCTTATTATTTTAAATTGATTTGCAAGTTATATTCGAACATTATATCGTTTGAATCCAAATGTATTCTCGAATCTTAATAATTTACAGTTTTCGCAAACTTTTAACATCGAAACTTTCGACCAATCGAAGAAATGCTTTTGTACCGCGTCGATCGATATTCGAAACCGTCCGTGTACAAACTTATCCCTCCCCATTAACGAATGTTATTATTCCATATTTTTCCACGCAAAATCCTTTTCATCTTCGAAGAACAGTGGCCGGGGCTCTCGTTAACGCAAACGAGAGTAACGGTTCTCGCAAAACTAGTTTGCGCAAAGTAATAAACCGTGAGCGCGGTGTTTTATAAGCGGATCGCCGCGGACAAAGGGATCCTGTTATTGTTAATTTAGTATAATTTGCCGCGGCTTAAGGGCAACGGTGGAAAAATTAGCACTTGTTATCTGAAATAGCCGCAATGGTGGACAGCGTAGGGGTCAGGACAAAAGACGGTGAAATTTTCACCGGTCTTCACGATATTACGGGGCGTGATTTAATTCCTGATTACAAGCCAGATCCCCGCCCCGATGTGTTATCGTTCCGCTTAATTAAATCATTACAGTAATGGCCGACGTATTCCTCGAATATTCCTCCAACGTCCCTCCAATTTTCGTATTCAAAATTATATTACGATACGTGAATTCGACACGAACGAAAAGTATACCACCACTTTCTTTCCTCGTCCAGCAAATCCACCATGTATCGATATACCGATTTAACAAGTTTAATTCCTATCAAATTTCCATTGTTTGATCGGTTCAATCCGATATAATCTAGAATCCTTGTTTCAACGCGAATCAATACCCCTTCTTTCCCTCGTAATATCGCCACCACCGTGTCATAATTCTACGCATCATGTCGCTAAAAGATTCTTGACGTTCGACAGGAGGAGTGCTTCTCGATGCTGCAGGATCTCAGCGACAAGATAAACAACAAGCACCACGAGGTCCACACGCACCCGTTGCTGTCCATCTTCAAGATGGCCGAGGTCGAGGTCAAGTTGCCGTACAGCAACGAGGTCGGGTGTCTGTCGGGGTCGTCGAGCTTCCCGCTGGTCGCGCTCCTCCTGCTGCTCACCCTGTTTCGATCGGCATCGACGACGTGCCTGCTCGCCTCGTGACACCGACGGCCCAGCCCGATCTGTCGAGAATTTTCTCCAACGCCTAGAAAAAAGCTGCAGTGAAAAACGCCTCCGAGGCGAGGCGTGAAGAAGGGGGCGGCCCCCCTTTGATCATCAACGAAGTCGAAGCAAGTTCGTTCAACGGGGCTCTAAATCTTTCGTGCCTCGTGGATCAAGCGTAGTAGAGAAGTTTCAAGTTCGTTGCAGCGTTCGAGGATCCATATGTGTTTCTCTCCTTCGATCGATTATTATATTGATTTAACTCGTCCATTCCCCTCCCAAATTGATATCGCTTCTCTCGTAGCTGGGATCAATTTTTGTCGCGCGATGTGGTCAATAATAAGAGCGATGTACAGGGAATGGGCGTGGATCCAAACACTCCCTGGCTCCTTTACGCTGCTGGATCAGCGACGACATCGCAAGCCAGAAACGAGATTCATTAGAATCGCGCGATTTTCTCTTCGAAACATTCGCCAGTTCAAAGGAGAAACATTTTCGATGTTATTTCCCTTCTTTTTTTCTCTCTCTCTCGATATTTTTCCGTTACTGAAATACCGTTCAATCGAAAATATAATTTTATAAAGAAATTCCATTTCGCTCGAGACTCTCTCTCAAGTTTTCGTTTAAGAAAAGAGACACCGGATCCTCGAACGGAGAACGAACGAGCACCCAACGCGTGTATAAAGGAAGCACCGTAGAGTCTGTAAATGACAAGCGCTAATTTACCGTGTAATTAAAATAAGCTAGCAGAAAACGCGAACGCTCCTCCTGTATCGGACCATTAGGTGTTTATTAACATGTTGTTCAGAGCTAAATCTAACGGGCGTTTTTTCAGGCATGGCGCAAGAGGCTCGAGCGTGTAGATAACTTGTAGAACTTGTTAAATAGACTTAATAAAAAGTGGGAAGGGAAGAATGAATGGCTGTTTCTCGCCGCGTGTTTTCCTTCTTCTTTTCCTGAAATTAACAGTTAAATTATTGAATTGAAGGGGAAAAGTGTATAAAATTCGACGAAAAATAATCGTTTCTTTCCAAAAAAAAGAAAAAAAAAATATTCTTTCATCCAGAGAGGCAATTTATATCTCGTTATCGAAATTCGTGAATAGCAAAAAGAAAAAAGAAAGAATTTCGTGTCTATTGGCCGAGAAATAACTCGACCAGTTTAATCATGTTTTTAATCCTGACACGAGCCGAATTGTTAGAATATCGGCGATAATTTGGCCGTTTCGCAAAATGGTTGGCTGCTGCGTGCGCGAGAGACAGCCGCTTTAAAACGGTCGATTTGTCAGAGGAAGAGAAAGAAGCGGGGAGAAACTTCTAAACAGGTTGCCGGATGCATGACGTATACAAACGACGACGCGAAAACGCACGAGCTGAAAATTATTCAACGGTAAAACTCCTGGTTCCTGGTCCCTCGTCGGCTCAATTATAATCTCGGTCGAAATGGCGATATTTGAAATTTATCGATAAATTCATTTTCAAAAGTTTCATCTGAAAATTTCATTTCAGAATGAAATTTCAATGACAAAAAAAAAAAAAAAATGATGGAAAAAAAGTTGTAAAAGTATTTTCCAAATTTTTATTCCAAGATTCCTTTCGATTCGAAGAGCGGGTAATTTTTTTCAGAGAGTTCGATTGATTGGAGAAGTTATGAGCGAATTGGAAATATATAATTTCAAATGATAAATTCATTTCATGAGAATGGTATTCCGTATTCATAAGTTAAAAATTAATTTTTCGATGAAACAACAGTTTCAGATTGGTTGGCAGATTCGATTCGTTCGTGTTACGTTGAATTTGAAGAAGATACACCAGTTCCTATATATTTGCTCTAATTTTGATTTCGTTTATCAAATTTCCCGATCGAATTTCCTACTAGATTGCGTATACAACAATTTTACGATATTCACGCAAAGTTTAAACAATTTCAAACTCGAGTATATATATATATACATACGAATGAATGTGTTCTAATTCAAAGAGAAAAGATTCGAAAATTGTCACGAATCGAAAAAGCGGTTTAGTTTCCTCGTGCCAAGCCGCGGCTCGAGTTTGAAAAGAAGAATTTAAACCAGACGAGGGCGTGACACGTTGAAACGTGGGAAAGGATTGCCGACGAGTGTCGGGGAACGAGGATGAAAAGAAACGACGCGAGAATGGGAGAGAATTTCGAAAATTTACCGTGGAATTAATTGTGCGTGCATCCGCGCGCCTCTGTAAAAAAAAAAAAAAAGTGTGAAGAAGTGGTCGATGGAAGAAGAATCCAGCTCGCGTTCGTTCGAGAATCTATCGTTTCTAATCTTAAAAAAATTCTTTTTCATTGCACCCACGAACTTTAGAATCGTTCAATTAAATATCGAGAACTCTTTGGAAAGGACGAAACTGACTTAAATTTTCCGTAGAGTTCTAATCTGATCTTGTTTTCCTTTCACGCGCGATTTCATAAGTAAAACAATTTGTAAAACAATTTGACAACAATTGAAAATTGATTTATCATATCGCGGGAAAAGATAAGCTCAAAAATAATAACAATTTATAATAATACCTCCGATGAATACGATATTTTCCAAAAATTACATTTCAATGAACGCGATAAATGCTCGTTTGAATCCCTAATATTAATCCTCGATTCGATTCGTTAATTAGACTTATTCATAAATACAAAAAAATAAAGCTCAACGGATTTGTTTCAACGTCTGAAATGATACCGACTCGATACTATTTCTACTATTTCCTCTCCCTTATATCTCGTGGAACGTTACCGGAATAGAAGAAAGGGAACCGGGTGGTCGCGAAAAACTTGGCGGATCGCGTCCGCGCAATTAGCCGAATTTCAGGACGAACGTGAGCTGGATCGAATGGTACGTGACGTGGTTATCGGCAAAGCAATAATGTATAAAGTTTACGATCCACGGGCACGTCGCTCAAAAACACGGGTGTAGATGGGGCGGGAAGGGGGGAGGGGGGGGGTTAATGGTTTATATATCCGGGGCGAGATGTATAAATTATACACGTTATACATAACAAGCACGTAGGGGGGAAACCAACTAATAATAAATGTGACGCGTAAATGTGTGTTAATTCGCGACGAAAATCATCAAGATGAACGAACGAATCTCTTCTGATGCGAACGAACAAGGTATCGAATAAGAGATTTCGAAAACCAGTTTGGAAAAACGAACGACGGAATCGAATGTGTGTGTATGTGTGTGCGTATGTGTGTTACTTGTCCTTTGTTCCGCGAAGCACGGAAGACTTTGGCCGGCCGATGGACGGCTGCTTATAAAGTACCTGTCCCACCGATAAGGAAAGATTCCAAGGTTCTCAAGGCGTCTAATGGAACGGTTGCACAAATTTACGTTTGTACGTTGGGCACAGAAATCGAAGCGGCACCAAACACGCACACCTTCGCGATCGTTTCCGAGTTTCGTTCTACGCGATTTACGTTCGGCACAAGTGTACATAAATTGCTAGGCTCGCGTATATTCGGCAGCTTTCCACACGCTTAGGGGACACATTCGTGTGGCCTAACTCGTATATACGTCTCCTTTATCTTGTTTGCTTTCGATGTTTTCGTTTTTTTTTTTTTTCCTTTTTTCTTTTCTCGACGCACATTTCCGTGCTTCGTGGACAAGACGGATAAAGAATAATCAGGTGTATGCGTGATTGTAGCGAGGAAGAGTAGGAAAAAAAAAAAATTATAAACGCGGAGAGAAGAGTTGGCGAGGAATAAGTTGTTTCTTCCAATAAGTTACGCTACGTGGGTCTTCGTATGCAATTGCCCGATTCTACCTGCCACGATTCACTGTCGAGAGTCTCGCAGTTCAAACATATCCGTATGTAAGATGTTACTCGTTTTATCAGCAACACTTTGTACAAATGATGATCACATTACTCTCCCTCTTTTCTTTTTCTTTTTGGTAACTCGAAGATACGAAGACTCATATATTGAAATCGTACAATTATAATTACAGAAACGACGTTTCGTTGTTTTGAAGTTTCGAGGAAAGCTTCGAGTGCTTCGCGAAAAAAGAAGCGATGGCAATAATTTACAGAACGCCAAGCGTACAAAAAAAAAGTAATTAAAAGTAGGACGAGATTGATCAAGCAAGTTGCTTCGTAAAAACTCGTATCGCGTCGCCTCGAATGCGAGATCGACGAAAAACAATTCGTGAAAATACACGGTGGTTCCAATCGAACATATCAAGGCCTCTTAGAAGTGGTCAGCCAATAAGCGGTTTACTCTGGTTTCACGTAGTTTCAGTTTTTTCGATGCTTTTTTCGAACGTGGGGACACGAAAAACGTGTAAAAATGGCCCATTCGCGATCCGTTGCCATTGCTCCAGGGATTTCTTCGTGGCGGACAAACAATTCGAGACTTTTTTTGCTGAAGAGGAAAAAAAAAAAGAAGAAGAAAGAAAGAAAAGACTATTTTGTTGATCCTTTTCTCATTTCGTCCAATCGAATGAAATTCGGTTCGAATCTTCGCCAACAAGTTAGCAATCTTATCGACCGAGCTCGTTCGAAAACCTGCCTAGATATCTATCTAGGGGAAAAACTCTGCGAGGAAGAAATACCTTGGCAACATGGCAATACTGTTACCGGCAATCCCTACGTTTAAAAACTAATCGCGGATGTATTATCGCGAGGCGAGAACGCTACAAATGTGGAAGGGGTCAGAAAATCGATTTTCCACGTGTAACATACTGCGTGTGAATCCTCTCGTATTCGATTCCTTAGGTAGTAAGTAAGCTCACTGAAAACGTTCCTGCTTTACCGACAGCGAGAAATGTATCGTCGTTCAGTACCAACCCCCGCTTTAGTAACTAGTTTCGTGAGAAAACTACCTCATTCTTGATACTGCGGCAGAATTCTAGATATCGACCAAGGCTACGCCAAGCCTTACAGATATATTTACCATGCATCAGTCGTTATACTGGTGAAGAATATTACATTTTTCTTCGATTAATTTTATTTAGTTCGGATAAACAAGTTTTAAACACCGATATTTTCTGACTTAGAATCTATATCTTTTATAATCGATATATCTTAATTATTTCTACCCTAGAAATAGTTAGACAATTGTTTAATTTTTCGATAGAATAATGATGTCAATTCGCGTCAAAGCCTCCTACGAAGGGCGGTAATTCCTCGAAAGTTTTCCGTCGGTAAACCAGAACGGAAGCTCAACCTCTCCGACTACACATACACACACACACACACTCTTGAACAATTAGTAAACGCGCGCAATTATACATATATTACCGGTGTGCGTATACATTTATTATACTCGAAACGCACTCTGACCCCGGCCACGCGTGTAATATAAAACGTACGTAATTATTACGTAATGTAAACTTAAGTAGCGCACCATTCAAGATGCTTGATCCTTCCCCTAAACGACACACACGTAAATCCTCGTACAGTCGCCAAGTTATGGAGACCTCTCGTCTCGTAAGCAGACAACATCTAGGTATACGTTGCACACTATCTATCGTATCGGTAAAAAAGAAAAAAAAAGACGAGTCGACTACGTTTCATCACTCGACACTCGAATTTCGTGTGTCGATTTATTCCTTTCTTTAAATGTACAATCAGTCGCAAAACTCTTCTTCATAACTTTTATAACGAGTGAAGACAACTAAACAAATCGTATTATCAAAACAATTATTTTATACAAAAGTACGTACGTAATATTTAAAATATAATAAATTATACATGGAGCAATTTCAAAGGGGCAAAATTATTCGTTGAAGTTATTCCATGCTTATATCTCTTTAATATTACGAGAGAGGCGAAATTTTATAAATTCATGTAAAAATACATAAAAAGCTTTCGTTTCCGCCTTTTTCACCGGGTGAAAAGTAAATCCGGCGTCAAAATTGTACTTCAAAATTGTCAAAAGTGCCGAAACTTCAAAGGGATCTATATCATTCAGAGGGAACGAGAATTTTAACGAGATAACATGCGAGGAACATTTCGTGACCAAGTGTATATCCGTCAATCGGGATCGATTCACGCTATTATTATTGTGAAACGATGATGTAGAAAAATTACGCCCGCCTCGCGTGGCTCGCGTGACCGCGCCTCCTTTTTCCACCGCGTGAATACTTAACGAACTGGGATGCTTACGAGACGCCTTTTAGGAGGTCACTTTAGAAGACGCAAAAGTGGGACGTCGCTTTCAGTAGATCTCTCTCGGTTCGCACATAGAACGGAGAACAGAACGAGGAGAGGGGATAATAGAAACTAAGGGGATGTATCCCGGCTCCCCGCAAATACTCGAAACGTTCGCCAGCCATGTAAACGCGGATCGTGTGTATGTGTGCGTGTGCCCGGCCGCTTTTCTGCTTCGATCCAACAGAGAGATGAAAGATCCCCTTAAGACGCGATTGATATTCGAAAGAATTCGATTCTTCTCGACTTTTGAGGAGGGAGCCAACTTCTCTCGATGAATATCAATCGCTCTCTTCGTTTCAACGAAGGGGGAGGGTGTCCTCGAGATAATTCCTGCTTGTAA